ACGCATTCGGCCCACCACCAAAAGCAGTACCTAAATGACATCCCCCCCAACCCACACGACCCGCGATAACCACCACCCCACACCATACGCCACCGCACGCCGCATACAAATAAGAAGTCTCGTACTAAAAACTCTCGATTAATTGTCCACCCCTTTTTCGCCGTTTTTTTCCCAAATTTTTCTGAGACGCTATGATTTCATCCTCAACTTTAGTTCCAAAAATTTCTTATCCCCTATTTTATAATAGAAAAAAACTGGGCGGTCGGACTCGAACACGACCTCGGCGGTGGGTGGAAAACTCGACTCGGAACTCCGACCCTCGGAAACATCGCACTCGGGGTGCGCGACCGACTCCGAACCAGGGTCGGCGCTCCATCGTGCACCAACACTCCCGTTGTAGGTTAGGCAATCACGATCATGGCGTGAATATGAGGGTGCACATTCGAGTGACAGAGCACTAGAGAGGGGAGAGCAGTAGGGATAATGCAATCTGGTTGTAGGTCGCAAAAGTAAATCACTACCGCTATAGGCGCGTTTCTCTTGTCGCTTTGTCAAGAGCATACTGGGACTGTGCATGTACGACGGACGCGTGATGTTACCAGTGCAGCGGTTTGTAGTTACTCAGCTTGTAAATAAAACCATATTCCTTTATGGTGAACACAAATTATACTGCTTTGATATTCAACTCCACAATTATTGCATAGTCAAGACCAATGGGTAAATTTTTTCACGTTTACACTACCACAATAGTAAATCAGTATTCAAAAACAGTCATGTAATAAAAATACATTCTCCGGCTGCCGGAGAAATAATACCGAGCACTTCTATTATCGGGCCACCGGCTACCATAATGGCCGGACCTACGGTCGCCGCAGCCCTGCAGGCTATCTCGACCGGAACATCCATTCACGCAGATCTCGCGATAGATTGATACGCTTCATTTGTCACGCGCACGGAAAATGGGACTTGCGTATTAAGCTTGTAGCTATATATGTATGCTAGCTATATTGTGATGCGAGCACTGATATACTATAGGCAAATTAATTTACTAAATGTATACCTACACATACACCATTATGATTACTAGGCAAGACCATGAATCAAGAAACATCTGTATCAAAGAAAACTATGCAGAGAATGCCCTATACTACTCACAGACTATAACCACCATGGGGCGAGGAGAGCGGAGCCCTAACCTCACCCACAGAGATCACTACTACACACTTACCACCATTCCGAACACACAATCCACACACACTCCCCAAAAACCCCGCTCAGCCAACAATGCAAAAAAAAATGCGACCACAAAAAAATCAACGTCGACAAGGCGACTCACCGCCCGGCGCACAAGTTGTCGTCTACAGCCTAGAAGACCCTCCAAGCCACTAGAAAAGACAAATCCGAATAAAATAACCACATCAGAACAACACCTAGCGAAAGACTACACTCAAACTCTCCACCACCCATAAGCCACGAAAGACGTAACGCAGCAAATAAATATCAATAATCATAAGCGATCACCGCGCTGAGCGACCCGCTAACTCGTGCATTTGGAAATGCAGTAAGTGAAGGCCTCTCTCACTTGGCGTCTCCTTTGGCGCAAATAGACAACGCACACACACAACAAACTCACCCAGACAATCGCGAGATGATAGACTAGAGAGTCACAGTTACCCGTCCATACAATACCTCCCCAACCAAACGAGACAACCCAAAACAACACAATGAGGCAGGATTTGACTCCTCAAGACAGGACCTCAGACCGGTGAGACAGACTACATGCCCAGGGTCGAGTTTTTCGTCGACGATTCAACAGCCCGCATGTCGCACACATATAACGAGGCCAATACGCACACACACCATGATCAGGCCCACAGACAACATTGATCAACAGTTGATAATAAACAATCACATCAACCCACCATCACGGCGTATTCCAATCGATCAGAGTAATTAAGCAGGAGAGCAAATACACAAACCTATTCAGCAAAGACTATACAACAAGTTAGAGTATTGCATCATCGTACCACGCCCCACGATAATACCTACTCAGGAGAACCCGAAAACTATCAGAGAGACCGGTGAAAACCCATCAGGGAATGGTTCAATTCAGCATTTCGGAGTCAAACCAGATATGAAATGGTCGTTTATCCGCCTACTACTACACCTATCTACTTCGTGTACGGTGAAGTGGTATGGTGAAGCAGGAGGTAAGCCGCACGACCTGTTCATACAAGCAGGATTACGTTTTCGGGGCTGATCACGAATACATTCCGCGAACCCATTAGGGTGTCTAACTTCAGGATATTCAGGGCCTGTACACGTTTAGTACATAGATTAAGAGGATATAAACACTACAATAGAACAATAATCGTCTGTTCGTGAGGTCACTTCCACTGTCGAAAAGATGTGAAGGAGGAGGAAGGGAGAAGGAAAGTGTGGAGAAGGAGGGCAGAAACCACAGGAGCTGCATGAAGAAGGAGCAAGTGTGGAGAATAGAAGGCGATGTGGGAAACCTTGAGCCTGAGAGAGAGGAGAGGGCGAACAGTCTAGGGGAGAGGAAGAATTATGAAGTGGAATATGATGAACTGTGGCAAAGAGGGAGGGTGAGAGTATATTTGATGAGGTGTAGAAAAGGAGAAGGTGCCAGGAGAACAGGCCAAACCCCTGCCACCATCGCACCACCCCTAGATTCCTTCTCTCTTGTCATCACCTCCATTCCTCTAAACCCATCACCACCCGTCATAATCCCTCCACGCAGCTTCTCCCCCGTCCTTCACCAATCCTTCGTCCTTCTCCTCCCTCCTCCTTCCCCTCCAAGCTCTCCACCTCGCTTCTCATCAGGCCGGCGATTAACATCTGCTGTTCATAAACACAAAACGCACGTGCAACAAATTAGTGCAATAATCCTTACTCTGTAACCGGGCCCAGCATAAGACAAACCCCACATCCGATATCATTCGTTTTCGCCATATGCACGATTTTCTATATTCAGGCCGGTGACAGGAGATAATTGCATATTTGTCACGTTGTGTTATAACCATTCATGTAATCGCGGTGGAAGAAAAGGAGGGGAGAAGCTGTGGAGAAGGAGAGGGAGAGGAGAAGGTGAGAGGGGGAGAAGCCTGGTGGAGAAGAGGAGGGAAACTGGTGTAGGAGGGGTGGATTGAAGGATGAGGTGGTGGCGAAGGTGGCAGCGAGGTGCCTTCTCTTCCTTGACACACACACTTCTCCTTCCCAACCACGTACGTTCACCACCATACCCTTGCGCTTTTTCTCATGACAATGGAACCATTTCTAACCCTACCACCTCCTTTCTCCAGCCAAGCTTCTCCCTTCTTCCCTCTTCAATTCGCCCAGGCCTACACGCACCATCTCCCCCTCCCTCCTGCTCCAGCCAGTTTCCCCCTCCTCCTTCCCCCCAACCTTTTCCTCTCCTTTCCTCGCACTGCTCCACAGCTCTCCCCTTCTCTACCACTAGCGTCTCCCCCTCTCTCCACCACCAGATTTCTGTCAACCATCGCCCCATCCTTCTCGTACGTTGCTTCCCCTCGACTTTTCCCCACCACCTTCTCCCTTCCCTCTTGCCTCACCTCTCACCAGCTTGCATCCCCCTCCTGCTTCTCCACCACCGTTCTCCCTTCTCCCACTTCTGCCGCCTCAGGGAATACACCATTCTTCTCCACAAGCTGAAGTGACGTCATCGAAAGACGCGATACATCTGACTGGTTATAAACACTGTGATCAAAACCACGTGAATAAAATATCCAAATTATCTCGCTGTAGCGGCTGTATCTAGGATTAGTATAACAAACCCAACTGATACACTATTCAAACTGGCGGCACATTTTGGTAATTTGCATGCCGCGCCGCGCTCTTTGACCAGCTATAGAAGCTCAATGACTAGTCACACTCGTCAATGGCCCAACGTAGGCAGTATCGCGGGCCAAGCACTATGCTATTTCAAGTGGGGCGGTAGCTTTCCGGGGAATCCCAGCAAATCGCAATCCAAACGGTCCAGGGCGAAAGGTGTCGCCCGTCGAACAAAACAGTTACGTAAATTTCCTATCTTAATTATGCAGTTTCTGTGGACCTAATTTTTAGATGAATTGTTAAGGCTGGAATACCAAAAAAGCATCAAAGACAGCTTTCGAGAATTAGTAGTATTTGGCCCCTAAAACTTACGCAAGCATGATGTATTGGCCAATTCAAAGCCATCCGAAAAATTCATGAATCAAAAGTATTAACACAAGCACCGTGATAGCCGTCTTAAAATTTTTAGAGGAGATAAACAGACGAGATGATTTGCATGTAAGAAATAGGAAGGGTCACCAAATGGGGCCGCAAACTATCGTAATCAGCTATGTTATCATCAAATTCTCGAGTAAATAATGGGACGTTTATAATTGGGAATACTTATATTTAAAATAAGCTATTCTGGTGGGGCGAAAATATGAGTTGCAATACTTCTCACATCTACATAGGATACGAGTAATCGGGTGCCTGCGGCATAGAACTTGTAGAAAAAAAGCGTTTACAAATTGGTCAACCGAAATCCACTTGTGGCAGTGGTAGATTGAGCCATGACGAGAGCGCGCATCTTCCCGTGGAGTTTGTGATCACGCACCACAAGAAGAGTGACGACTGCCGAGATGAAATGTAATACATATAGGTTTTGTGCAGTAAATAATAGCTGATTTAATGAAACATCATGAATAATTAAGAATAAATGATATCATTAACATGTGCAGTCGGCGTATTATCTAATCGCGCAACTCTAATTACTACATTAAAAGCAGGAGATATTTCTCAACAAACAGCGCAGTGATACACCAACCAAGAATTTCCGCTTCCGTAGTTGGCGGCGCGTAAATGTTAAATGGACAGGCATTGGTTCAGGCGAGGAGCATGAACCAGTAACGAGCGCTGTTGCATGCGAAAATAGCCCCTAGCAATAACAGAGGTACCCGGATGTTTTGGTTTCAGCTGATCGAGAAGGCGTGTTTTGTATGTTGTTGTATGAAGAAGAAGCTCCAAGCTCCAAGAAGAAGCTCGTTTACAACACTAACGGTACAGCGCAACATGCCAGCGGAGCATAGTTACGTGGTCAATTTAATACGCTTATAATATACTGAAATGCTTTCTGCGCGCAGCAATTTCAGAACCAAGTTATGCAGTGTTGTTTTGCAGGTACGCATTCGAATCCACCACATTAATAAAAGTCACTATAGTATAATCACTATATTTAACCTAGCCACAAGTTCCCTTCTCGCTCAACACTACGACGTGTAACAGTCGGCACCCCACATTTACGAAAATGACATAGGTCTCAATGTGACCCATAGGCCTACATATATGATAGGATATATACCGCGTTCACACGGTCATGGTTTGGCTCGAGCTAAATGGGCTAAATTTGGCTCGGGCCGGTTTGAGTCGGAGCGTTCACACGTACGCAAGTGAATAATGTCTGTCAAATTAAAATTAAAATAAATTTTATTGCACAAATATCTCACAGATACTTTGGCAGTATGTCGCGAGATGGCGTTGTGTACGATTCAGTGTTTACATCCGTTCCGAGTTCAATTATCAATCTTGAAAACATGTATCCTGATCAAATTTTTCGAATTTTTATACTGTTTTGGACTTTATTTCGTTGAAGTACACGTTCGACAATCGCGGCATCTACCACTCTACCGATTCAGCTGGTGCTAAAATTTGGCTTGGGCCTGGTCAGACGTTTTCGATGGGACTAAATTGGCTCGTGCTAACTCGGCGCGGCCCCGAAAAACCGTCCGTGTGAACGCTCGGCTCGAGCCAAATTTGGCGCGGGCCGCATTAGGCTTGGGCCAAAAACGTCAGTGTGAACGCACCTTAATACTATAATAACACTATGTAATAGCGTAGGCGTAAGACAGGTGCATTTGCATCACAGTTACATTTGGAAATACCAATTGTTTGTGTTTTACATACAATGTTAAAATGCACTATAACATTCAAATAATGTTTACTAGCATAAATTACCATCCTTCTGTCAGAAGTCCAATTAATTAAACAGCACCATCATTAGTGAAGAGGTAATGTTTACGTTCTTGTGTCAGGCAGTTGACATTGACAGATCATCTGAAGTTATTGAAATATGTAACGTACATGTTGTAAACAGAATATAACTGAAATGATGACAAGCTGCTGGTTTTTTAACTACTGCATATGTGTTCACTGGTTACACCTGATTATATTTTCATAGTCGGCCATGTTCAGTACAGTGGAAGAGACAATTAAATAACTACTGCAAAGAAAGCATAAAGGCTGGTCAGAAAGGGCTTAGTTTTGCTTTTGATCTGGCGACACACCGAGGGTATGTGTAAAGAAATGTGGTGGTAACCTGTGGCTCTTTCTCATTAATCTTACACCTCCAATGTATTCTACCCACGATGAATATATTATTTTCTTAGTGTCCTATCTTCTAAGAATCACTCCTATCTCTTTTCTTTCTATTTTTCTCTCTCTGTGTCTCTCTTTCACTCTCTTCGTGTATCCCTCTCTCACTCTTTATTTCTCTTGCTCTCTCTCTCGGTTTCTCAGTCCCCCCTCTCTCTCCCTCTCTCTTATGCTATCTCTCCTTAACTCTCGCGTCTCTCTCTCACACACACACACACATACACTCTCTCTCTCGTACTATTCAGGATTGGATGCCGGACTGTCCATCGCTGATTTCGCACCCCGGCTGTCGTTCTTCTGTGGCGTCGGCATGAACTTCTACGTGGATATTGCGAAGCTGCGAGCGGCGCACTGGCTCTGGGCGCACATGATGGAGGAGACGTTCGCGCCGACGGACCCGCGCTCAAAGCTGCTGCGTATTCACCGCCAGACGTCGAAGTGGACGATCACGAAGAAGGTGAACCGCCAAGCGAATGCGGACTGATTTTGTTCGAGATACTACTTAGGCCATGGGCCAAGAGTGATTATTGTTCACTTTCGTTTGACACCTCATGGAACCAAGTTTAAATCTGGTTATAAGTTAAATACATTATCCTGATTATAAATCACCAATGTTCACCCCAAAATTCTTGCACATTAGTTTGTAATAAGCTTTTGAAAAGTGGAATTTTTCGAAACAGGCAAATTCTGCCAATAGATGGCTGTATGCTAAGCTTGAACCAATCACGGTGCTCTATGTGAAGCTTGAACCAATCACGGTGCTCCATTTCACCATATTTTACGTGCGTGCGTGCGGGCGAGCGTGTGCACGTACACATGCGTGCGTGTACACCTACACAGAATACATGTACATATACGTACTGAATCGACAGCGCACGCCGCACTCGAGATTTCATAGATTTTTGTCACAAATGACCCGGTGACCTGTGACATCACACAACCCCTTGGCTAACTACGAACTGGCTTATTGTCGCAGCATATATCCAATTGTCCGATTTGTTGTGACCATTAATTTCATCACTACTGCACTAGCACATTTCTTTTTCTTTGGTTTATTTTTACAGTGGCCAACAGCTTCTTCAAATATTATTTTTCTGAGCTGTGTCGGCACATCTACGTCTGCCGTCAGTGATCTGGTTTTTTAAAGTTGTGGGGCATAATATGGCACACAAATGCCCCACAACTAGAAAAGTCTTCTTGGAGTCTATGTGGTGGGCATGTAAATGTATATTCCAACACTTCTATCTTCGTTTTCTATTTCAGGAAAGCTATCATAATGGAGAATGCCTGATTTGCTCAGGGAGAAGACGAGGCATCTGCATGTGCTCTCCCGTGGGTCTAGACTAAGGATATGTATCAGTCGCTCCTGCATGGATATGGCCACCAGCACCCAGTGGTCACCAGTAGGATTCCTTTGGGTCAGAATCACTGAAGCGGCACGGATGCCATCTCTACGTCTCGGTGAGTAACGTGACTGCACTTGGTATGTATAACATGTGACAAGTGATCTGAGCAGCTGTGTTCATACATGTGACTGCACAACCCCATGCAACATAGCTCTGTGCATCGCTCGTAGCAGAAGTCTTCAATGCAAGTATCACCAGGGGGGTACCCAGACATTTTTTGATGGTACGCAAAATTGCACTCAAAATTGTCAAAGTTGTTATTTTTATTGAAAATGAAATCCTTCCGACCATCTGGCGTAATGACACTGTAGTCATTATTCTTATCACATGCATAATTCTGTAAGCCCAACTGAACGTTGCATTATTTTGTTTTAGTAAAAAGATCTTTTTTTTATTTTGAAAAAATTTAGTACACATTTGCGTACTTTGCGTATAGGTAGGTACGCCCCTGCATGGTTATGCGCTATTCGTCCGAGCAGTCGCGCAGCGTGGTATGCGTCGCTTTCCCACACCATAGATTAATGGCGGGCCGCCAGGCTATAAGTGCTCTTGGTGAACCTTGAGACAAATATAACCAAATTTTTCTTGGTTGTCCACCGGACAATGTCTCAGACTGGTTAGGTTGTCCGGCGCAAATTCTGGTTGTCTCGGACAACCGGACAACGCTTATTTCGAGCACTGTTCAGTCTTGCCTCCTCGGCCGCTCTGGTATCTCCCTTCATCTCGATTAATAGTGACCGAAGACCATCAGACTTCGACTCATATTTGCGCATATTTAACCAGAGGATATAACCATGTGATAATTGATGCAATTAATATCACCCGCTCAGACCGAAGTACCCTGAAGTTGCTGGTGGAAGTGCACGAAGATTTATGTTCATGTTTTTTAAATAATTAAATGTCATTTAATTTAACATTTAATAGTTTGTTTCTCTTAATATTGGTATGTTTATTCGGTATAATGAAGGAAGTGTCTAAACAACCGGATTCGGTTTCGGAGTCCTGAAAACTAAACAACCGGCTCTCTTCTCTGATTGGCTAATTTTGTCACTTATTTATTTTATTTTTTATTATTTTTGGCCAATTTTATTATATTTTAGAATTAGGGATCGATAGGGTTTGGGTTAGGGTTAGGGTCTATATCCAAAAACTTTTAAGTTTGTCTGAGTGGCTCAACGGTATATAGCTTTCGCTTCGTGATAGCAGAGGTGATAGTAAGGTACCGTGTTCGAACCCCATAAGATGTTTTTATTTTCCTCTGCTTTCTGTGTTTCATTTGTTTTTGCAATTATTTGTTCTGTATTCATTTATTTGTTCTGTAACTTTGTTTATGATCGGAATTAAATATATTTCTTTATGTTTTGCATTAAAAATTGTCCTATATTATATTTGTCCTGTTATGTTCTTAAACTGACCAATCAGAGAAGAGAGCCGGTTGTTTAGTTTTCAGGACTCCGAAACCGGGTCCGGTCGTTTAGACACTGCCTATAATGAAATGAATAATGACTGGCCTGGAGGGTAATATTGCAGATGGTCTCCCCTTGGAACCAATACTTCTCTCAGCTGACTAATGGAACTAGCTACGATAGGACTCTGCTCTCTGAGGAATATTGGTTCCTTGGGTAGGCAATCCGCAATATCCCCCTTCAGGCCTGTTATTATTTCTATACTAGCGTAGGTTAATTTTCTTTACCCTGAACATGAAATCAAACTTTTTTACTTCAACCAAATTATTACTTGCTGTCTTACGCAACAAAATGTTTCAAGTTCAAAATCAGAGATTATTATATTTTTATATATCATGAAGGCTTACATACAGCAAATAGTTTTCTGTTTGTACAACACTAGCAAGTGTGTTATCAATTTAAACAGTATTTGGCAAGTTTCCCATCTGTAGGATCAACTCCTTTCGTATGATTCATTCGTTCTTGAATAGCTCCCACAGGTAGTCAGCCAGAGGTTGATTGTGTGTGGAGCGAGGGGTCAACACGAGAGTTGATTCGACTTCGAGAATCAAATCTCGATAAATTCAACTCATCACGTACCCCAAACAAAAGGGGTTGGGAACAAATTGCGGTTGAACTAAGACCTATGTTGGTGGTAAGCTTACATGCATGTTTTTAGATAAAATCTCAAAAGTAAGCAGGGCAAAACTGTTTAATATAACTATCTTAGTAAGATGAATAAAACTTTAAAAATTAGATTCAAATATCTCAATAATTTTATACGATTTGTTGTCTGTTGAAACTTGCAATCTTACAATTACACATATAACATAACCACATTGGAAAAAATCACACGAGTCATTGCAATTGTAAAAATATCC